TACTTATGACAATACTACAAAACATTGCAATGATACAGAAATGTCCTTGCTTGCTCCTCTCTACACAGTAGGGGTTAGCTTTAACCAATCTCTCGTATAGCTGTGTAAACGTCATATCTCCCTGGTCGACGTCAATTGCGTACCAGTCTACAACAATCCCTCAGTTTTTCCTCTGAACTGTTATGCTCACGTATTCCTGGCAACACAATACGCATGTGCAGAAGATCATTTACGACAAAATTGGCACGTTTTTAGATAGTCCAAAAAGAGTTTTACGACAAGCCGGCGCTTTGCGACAATATGAGTCGGCAAGTTCCGGACAGAAAACCGATCTGTAGAGACTCGTCGTTGGAGATTTTTTTTTTTTTTTTGAGAAAAGGCGAAAACTAATGCGCGCGTGGATGTCATCCATACAATTAAGTCGGTGTGGCCTAAACAATGACAGAAATGGTACTTGGGTATAAATATGGGTATAGATTTTGCCACTATCCAGGTATAAAAATGGTCACACTTTTGAGCTCTCAGGGGCACCTCCATACCCAGCTATGTATCAACTGCCCCCTCCCCTCCCGGGGGGTGGGGTGGGGTGGTGTGTGTCAGGTGTAATGTTTCAGCTCACTGCTTCCACATATCGGACAATGTATGAATGGCGGGATGCACAATTTAGTTGCGCGTGGCCGGCAAATGTATAAAATCAGGGGTACATTACTTGGGGTTTGCAACTCGCATAGTACTGTATGGTGACATCATGTCAAGATCCCATTCAAGTCTCTTCTCGTAGATAGCGAGACTGAGGCTACGACCTTCTGACATGACGCATATCAGTGTTCAAGGTTTGTAATGAAAAAAATAAACTTTTCTTGTCACTATCATAGTGAAAAATGTAATACATCGAAAATGTACAGAAAATATAGTTCTCGTAATCCGTCATATCGTGGGCAGCTATTTTGATCCACCTGGACATCCCAGTATCCTAGTTACCTCGGGCATGCGCATTCGCATTTTTTCTGAGTTGGAACGTTTATGCGAGAGCGAGATTGTGACGGGATCTTGTTATCATGTCACCGTAGTTACAAACCCCAAGTAATGTACCTCTGATAAAATATAATAAACCCAATAAACCACTGTGTCATGGTGATAACATGTTAGCTGACGTAATACTGCATTGACGTACATGCTTGTATTTCCATGAAAAATTCGGATTATGACCTGTTCATTTTGAAGTGTATATCGCCCATGCAAACAATTTTCGGCCATTTTAGCGAACAAGTCAATTTATCTTTAGCTGAAAGCGCCCTCAACGTCGGTCTTTTTGGGTTCTCCTTTCACTCTGACCCAAACTCCATGCGAGTACCGCCAGTGGTGGTGGTGGTGGGGGGGGGGGTACAAAAACAATAAGCCAACACCAAATAAAACGTATACATTTTTTAATTTCTTTATAAATTATATACGTAACACTAAATACTAATTCACTCCAAATGAATTCCGCTAATTGTTGGATTTACATCCCCAGAAAAGTTTAGTTAAATGACTGACATGACCTGACATATATTTATACGATTCATAATAATATCGGTGTACTATTTACATAACATTATGTAAAATGATTAAATAACATTTCAATTATAGCAAAATCTCTAAACAATTAAACAAAACCATATACAAACATACAAGATCTAAATTAATTTAAATAAATACGTATTAAACACAGTAAAACAGTTAGGGCTGAAATGGAGGATTATTAATTTATGAGCTTAGACAAAGAATAATTTGTAAGTTTGCTATTGTTTGCTTCAAAATGATGCCTTTCTGTGTCCGATTGTAAAAATACATAGAGCTAAGTTCATTAGACACATTCAATATATAATATAGCTTCAGTGTGAAATATATTATATGTGTAAGATTATTATAATAATGTTTAATGTCATACACCATTCCATCACGTCTCACTCTCTAAAGACTGACCTCTCCCCTGACGTCAGTATGACCTAAGTAGCTAAGTGCAACGTAGTTGAAATACACAACTCTAACTTTGAAGACATTACACATATTAACAAAACATATCAACGCTGCGGACGGTGTCCCGAACATTCATTACGTCACAGAGAATTTTTCGTCGATAGAGTTCGCAACCTATAGGAACTGTGTACTAATGGATCAACAAGCAATTTTCCCATTGTTGTGGAAGTTAATCATGTAAACTGACGCTAAGTAGAAATATCTAACACAACGAGTAGTCATAAAATCCCTCGGTGTTCCGAACGATTGGGCGTAACGAATCGCACCCCAGCAGTTCATTAACTGAATATGTGACTTATACAAATGACCGGAAAACAAATGTACGAATTACACAGTGGCGGCGGCACAGGGGGGTGGGGGTGCTCGCCCCCTCGAAAAAAATCAAGCGGAATCTATTTGTGTCATAATGCAGAAAATAGCGTTTCAGAGAGTCTAGATTTCAACTTTTTAAGGGGGAGCATGCCCCCGGACCCCCTAGTAAGGTCGCGCCTTCGGCGCAAGGTGGGTGAGCAGATCTCGCCCCCTCACGCACAATTTTGTGACGCCGCCTCTGTTTCACAAACGTGCCAGCAGTAGGTGATTGACACAAATTGATTGACATGTTGACAGAGATACGCAAAAAGATTGTAAATATATGAATTGTATTATCGGTACGTGTATCGTTTTTGTGTGTATTGTGCAGTGGCGACCGCTTCGTTGAATTTCTGAAATGCTTATCATTAAAATATGACGCTACACCTGTGTGATAATGTAGTATATAAAAATTATAGACTGTATTGCAGAAAATAATTAACAATCACCAGCACAATAATCTGCGAAAAATAAAAACCTCACATCCTCACATCGTTACTTCAATATATACTAGTTGTCTGTGTTCAAAAGCTAAGTACCACGTGTTCCTTTGTGTTACACACATACTTGCCACGTATTAACTACATTATAACTACAAATAATAAATCACTCGACCAAATCCTTCAGCTGCCTTTTGAACATATTAGTGACATAGACATAAACAAATCGACTACTTTCTTATCGAATAATACAGAACCATTTTAGTGTGAATAATTTCTATATATATAATATTAAATTGTCATTATACTAAGGTTAAACACTGAGACAGATTCAATATCTCTACTTGATCATCTCACTGAATAAGAACGCGACTAGTAATTGTTTTCTCGTACGTGATAGTGTTAATGCTGGGCTAGATATCACTATTCAGCTACAGAGTGTCACTATATTACAATTGTGTTACTTCTAGAATTAAGAAGCTCGATATCATCTGCTAATTTGGTGTCACCCACAACTTTCAAGGCTTTAAGTATCTTATCAATCGCAGTTCGGACGACCGAAGGACCATGGTATTTATCGCTCCATTTTTCCATTATTTTGCCTAACTTCGCTTTCGTGGAGATGCATTCTCTGTCAATCGATTCTACTACAATCGGTAGTCCAAGATGTGTAGCCAGTAACTTCCATTTCTGTGGGTCGAATTTTTCCACTACTAGATTGATAGCTTCTACCAGTCTACGTTCTGCAATATACATATTAACGAATAAGAGTGATAAACATTGTATATATTCACAAAGTATAAAAATTACCTTTCTTCGCAATTTAATTTATGAAATGTTATCTATTTCATTTTCACTTCATATGCATTTTCACGACCTACTGTATGATTGTCAATCAGCGGTCTTTGATTGGTGAAGGTTAATTTGGTATAATTTTTTTTATTGATTTGAGCAAAGCCTTTGACCTAGTCAAACGACGCATTCGACTAAAAAGAACTTATTATTGATGTTCAATGAACACATTGGTATATTCCAGCTCGTATCTGAAAATGTATCAAATCGTTCGGAGTGGTGCAGTGAAAATAAAATGTTAGTGAACACTGCAGAAAACGAAATCCATGGAAATTGAAGCCATCTGATAAAGCAAACATAAAATGAACAAACAACTCGGAAACAAACTGAAAATGGAAAACTGAATAATTTATCATAAAATAAGTATGCTGGTTTATATTGAAGGAACAGTTTCTCGTAAACTGGAATTGTTTAGGTGTATGTAAATATATGCTCGCAGAATGTTTTATACAAATTACATTTTACCGTCTCTTCATTTCTGTTGTGTAATTTAGAGAAACTGTGAGAAAAGTAATATGGAGAGACTTTTAGAATTACAAAAGCGAGCAATCAGATTAGTGTGTGGGGTATCTACCCAATCATATTTTTTCAAACGTTTAAATGGTTACCACAAGTAACACACTGTAATTCGAATTTGTGCAATATCACCAACATACTTGCTTACTTTAATGCGTCTGTTTCTATGCGTAATCTGCTTTCAAAGTAATAAAATTTGTATCCACCTCGAATAAAACAGAATTTTTTCATAATTTTGATCAACACAATGTTATTTCCTAACTTCTTATTCAGACTATTTTACCAGTTAAAGGAAGTGGACTTCATCATTCTGAATTATTAAAACCCCCATTGTGTCCCAAACATTAGATATTGTGGCACATATTAAATTATGCATGATGTGATGCGGTTTTAGAACATATGTAAGTTAGTAGCAGTGTCAGTATATGTTTCACTGGCCAGAAACACACTGGCGGGTGCCTCATATCACTGGCCACAATTTCTTTCATTGATGTGTTATATAGAACAATAACTTGCACGAACCTTTAATGAGGTCAGGCGGCACTTCTGCAATGAATTAAAATACAAGAATGGTTAAGGCGATGGAAAATATAAATAAATATTTATAATTTATGGAATACTGTAACAAAATTAGACAAGTTATTTGTAAATAACACATTTTAATAACAGGAAATTGCCACTGTTTTTCATAAAGACACTTATTAATGTATTACCTTTCATCCTCTGTGGGCAATCATTCATCTGTATTTCAACCTCTGAATATTGCTTTGGGATGGACTTCCAACTTGTGTGGTATTTTATATCGCCACCAGATCGACATTCAGAATCTTTAGGACATATTATATTCAACAGGACCTTATACTGCAAATATGGGGAAAGCTGTTGTATACATTTTTCAAGTCTCTTAATAATGATGTGGTGTAATATTTCAAATGTGGTCTCTAGGTCCTTATGTATGGCAGTATAAATGGTGAGTGACTTTGCATTTCCGGCTTTGGTAATCTGCACAGCAGTGGGAACTCCACCAATTGTAGCGAGGAACATGTCTCTTGAACCCTTGTTCACATGAGTGTGCACATCACACATGTATACATTGATGAGATTCTTAGGAAAGTACCATGGGAATTCAATTTTGGCTGCAAAGACAGGTTGTATTCGGTGCTCGAGAATGTTATTCTGAAGGAAGGCGGGTAAAAGAACTACTCTTGGCGGGTCGTCTTCTTCGCAGTGTCTATGGAGAAACGAATCTTCATTCTCAGAAGCTGGCACTTCATATGCTATGGACAAACCTATTAAAATATCAAGGATCAGATTGATAATGCTGTCATCAACTTCTAAGTGTTTGAATATACACAAAGAGAGGACCTCTGAAGACAGAACTGCTTTCTCATTAAAAATGTTCAATATTACTTGAATTGTTTCTTTAAATCCGGGTGGAAACATTCTTCGACTCAAAAGCTCATCTCTGTTCTTTCCAGCAATCGTATGCAGGATAGTTTTCAGATAGTCTATGTTATGGAATATATATCCACAAAGTGACGACTCCTCTGTAAAACACTGGATAACACCAATTCGCTTCAAATATTCCCTTGCATCATCCACGCCACTCTGTTTCATTCCAACATCTTCACAAAGCTCTTCAAATTCAAAAGTAGTGAGTCTGATCTTTTGCAAACCTTCTTCTTCTTGTTGCTTCTCTACCAAAATTTGTTCTAACTTTAGCATATTCAGCATACAAGGCATCCCATCATTATAGAGCCCGGGAACATCAATTGGTAATAATTTGTTCTTATTATTTTTTAACATTTCACAAATATGTGTTTGCAGTCCCTGAATCCACTGTGTAGTTAATATAGGATCTCGTGAACTTCCAACTGTTAAAACATCACAGGGAGAAGATAGAAAATGGTCACTGGTTTTATTCCGTACCTTGAATGTGTCGAAAAACCTTTTCAGGCTGTCTTTAATTGTCCCACAGCATTTCTTAATGTGGTCATCTTCAACTTTATCACAATGAGTTCCCACTACTTGCACCATAAAGTCACCGCCAATAACAGAATATACATCTTTTATCCAGTATTCAATGTGTTGTTGGAAAGCAGAGGATGTAGATGGCTTATATTCCTCCAGGTTAACCGTGATTACGTACAGAGCATTTGGTACATAGAATAGATGATGTACAACTTGTAGTTCAACTGGCCCACTACAATCAGTCACATTGATGTCAATTTTGTCATTTGCTGGCCAAATATTGCTACTGAGAAATGCACCACTATTTCGTGATTCAGCTGTTTGTATGTCATATGGATTACTCCCACTAGATAACATCAATTTATTCATTAATAAGGTTTTTCCAGAATGTCTTGAACCAATGAAGTACATGCACCCTCTCTTCAGGTCACTGAGGTCCTGTGCATCTGCAAAATCTGTCAATGTAGTAAATTTTGCCAGGGCAACACGTTTATCTATAGAAGATGGAATATTCCGTGCTAAGTTACCCATAATTATAACTTCCGTTGGAGCATTTTCACACTCATTTGTGTTTACAAGTTCAACTAATGCAGATGGGAGAAAGTACAGCAGATTGTAGGACACATCTAGCTTCTTCAAACTTGTAACTTTTTCCACTGATTTCGGCACTGACTTGAGAAAGTTATTGCCGACATTTAAATGAGATAAATTTCTTTCTGTTGTATCATCGAGTGTAGGTATGTTTTTAGATATTGTATGTATTCGATTGCCATTTGCAAGGAAAGCCTCAAGAGACATATGTTGAAAAATATGCATTGGAACAACCACAAGATTATTATTCTCTACACTCAGAACTCGTAAATTTTTCATATTCTGGATCTCCTCTGGAATCTGCTCAATATTATTTCCACCAAGTAAAAGCTCTTCCAAAGTCGGAGAATCTATACATCCATCCGGAATATACTTTGACTGAGTATTTTCCATGTTTAAGCTTTTCAGGTGATGTAAGCTACTGAACATGTCACTAGTTTCCGTGTCACCAATTGTATTGTAGGAAAGGTTTACGATTTCAAGATGAGTTGCATTCTTCAACTGGGTGGGAAACTTTTCAAATTTATTTTTCGAAAGGTTGATTTTCTTCAGGTTTTGCAATGAAAACTTTTCTGGAAGGGAATTTATTCTATTATCTTCAAGGTTTAATGATTCTAAATTTGAAATTTGACACAATGTTTCAGGAATATTTTTCAATTGATTGCTTTTTAAGGAAATTACCCTCAACATAGGCATCAAACAAAAATTAATATTCAGAATATCTGTTATCATATTATCGTCTAAGTATAATTCCTCAAGCAAGTGGGCCGTCATATTTACAGGGAGTGATTGAATTAAGTTTGAACGAACCGAGATTTGTTTTATTTTCCTTAAAGGTATGGTGTCTATAGTATGAATCTGGTTGTTGTCAATATTAAGATGTTCAAGATGTAAGGAAGATTTAGCCACCGGAAATTCACTTACATTGTTATTTCTTAAAATAAAGGTCTTTAAATTGGTCAGGTTGTGGAAAGTAGTTGGTACAGTTCTGATATTGTTGCTTTCAACATTAAGATATGTAAGATTTGTCATTTGCGATACTATGTTCAGCACTCCAATATCAGTTTCTTCAGTGATATTGGAATCCATCTTATTGCCGCCCAGATCTAAATGTTTCAATCGTTTACCTGATAGGCCAACGTTTCTTGGAAAGGTAAGTATAGTATCCTGTTGATCATCTAGTTTCAGAGTTTGTAATGCTGGGGGTAGAGTGCCTATGGTTGAGATAGCATTCAGGCTGCAGTCAAGATACTGCAAAGCGTGTAACATACGCATATTGTCTGGCAGTTCTGTCAATCTATTCGCTTTCATGTGGAGATTCCTGAGATTTCGCAGTTTATACAATCCTGAAACGTCTGACATTCTTTCAAATGCATTTTCACTTAGATCAAGATATTGCAGTTTAGTTGCTTGATCCACATCATATATCTTCTTCAGATTATTTCCTACTAGAATTAAGCGACTGAGACGAGGAAGTTCCAGTAACTGATAAGGAACATGTGTTATCCTGTTGTGGCTCAGATCGATCACTTCGAGGCTTGTAATATCTTGTATTTCAGGCTGTATTGTAATAATTTCATTATCTGTCAGTTTCAGGGTCTTGAATGCATCTGAATTAGGATGAAACAGAGTTTCCGGTAAGGCTCTTAGTCGTGTCGTTTTTGTAATTTCTAGCTTAGGTTTTGGTTCTAGTGGTTTAGATAGAATGGATCCCATTTTCTTGTTTAGCTGTGCTCATATATGGGAATTATTGGTAGATTTGCACTGTTCCGTGTTGTCGTGCTGTTGGCGGAAAGTAATAGTATGTGAAAATTTAAGTCGAGCTATATACAAATATTCGTTAAAACCATGGAACAGGAAATTACGATCGCATATGATGACATGTTTTGTTCATATCCGGTACACCAATGAATGTTGAATGTCAGGTAGTTATGTGTGAAGTATTATGTTCTTGTACACGCATTATTCCTCGTGCAGATAACTTCTTGTTTGTTCTGATGACTTCTGTCTTGTTCTGATTTCACCATATATTACCTACTGTGGCATGTCACTCGTCAGTTGATTATCTTTGCATATTCCTTGACATGTAATCGCATGTAATTCCTGTGCAGCACAGCATATACCAGAATATCGCTATATTGTAAAAAAAAACAACAAAAAAACACACTGGTTACCAAATATGCATCGAATTACATGAGTGTATATTGTTTGCTTGAATGTAGTTCAAAAACGGGGTTCAGTGCAAACATCACTGCACATCTATAACATTTTCGAGGCAGATTATTGGAGAATCATAAAATAATCGAATTTGTTATTTAATATCTATATTATATATCAGCAACCACATGTACTAGATGTGTATGTACAATTATGTCAACTCTAATATTCAGTAAGATATACAAGTGAAAGTACGCAGTTTCTAAGATCACTCTTCCATGAATTATATATATATATATGGTAAGCCGTCAAGTGAGAAATTACCTGAGGTAACCAAATCATGCAAAATGCTGACGGATTGAATGACATTTTATAAAATACATATAAGGGTCTAGTTAAAAAAGCATAACAATTGGAAAAATTGAGGATTTTATTTTGTTTGCAAAACAACGATTTTACATGTCAATAGTTTTCCAATATTTCCACAAAATTATACACTTCGCGATAATGGTGATGCACACACAATAGTAATATACCATTTCAAAATACTGTTATATTTTCATTACACAGATAGACAAACACGTTTATTAACGCTTTTAGTAATACACCATGTGAGCAAATTACATATATATGCATTTCAAAAAACACAGAACCACTGTATTGCTAATAGATATACTTTCATAAATAACCATTATATATATATGTTTTTTTAATACCATTATATATTGTGCTAAACATTTTATATACTCGTTAAAAAAATAAAACTACACAATATAATTATGTATAGAAATCATATTAGTTCACTAACAAATATTCCAACAATTAAATTTCTATTTAAGCTGATTATAAAATATTGTGTCTTATGAATTATGTACACGTGGCCTACTCGCATCATGACATATAACAGAAATATGAATGCTTAGCTTTGTAGAAAGTTATATAACACTGTTTACATTAACTGTAGTAGGCGTGAGATGGCTATCTATGTTTACTTTGACAAGAAGCTTCTACGGAAAAAAAAACTGGGAGAATATTATACCCCTATTATGTGGACATGGTACAATTACCACTCTGAGACAACATGATAGGAAAACAAAGTGTGAGCACAACATTTCCAAGAAACAAAAAGAAACAGCATAACGTACAAGACTTGTTCCAGGACCTGAGTCTAGCTTGTTGTAACTTGCGCAAGCATGATGACAATATAATTACAGAATCTTGACCTTGTCCCGAATCTATGTCGAACATCCCAATCACAAAACATATGAAAAAAATAATTAACTCAAAAACCATGCACACAACAACGATAATTATAGTAACAACCAGGCTTGCTGATGCATTGCATTTCAGTATTACTGTCACTATAAAAAGTATGGATAGGTGTGATACAAACAGAGAGAAATTCAAAACTCCAACAGCAACCGTCTTCACAGTAGTGTATCCATTGTAACCAAAATTCTACAAAAAAAAAGCGAAAATGATCTGATGAAACGTTTATAAAAGATGCAAAACAGTAAAATAGGGTAGGGTATTATCACGAATTATTAATGAAATTAATTACATTATTCGGAAATACAGTTATGGTATGTACCTTTTTGTCAGGCTCTCCATCGCACACCCACTCCACATCAGGCTTGGATACCAGTCTCTCCATTGGAAAACCCCCACCAGATATAGGATAGACGGCATCGATATCTCCATTACGTTCTCTCAATTTTATGGTTGATGCATCCAAGCAAAATATTTTACTGAGAACATTCACAGTTAACTGCTCTTCAGTCAGGTAAATTCTACTATTCATGCTATGCGGACCCGCTGCTACAGTTCCGTGAATAACTATCCCTTGAACAGAAGGTAGACTCTCTGATTTTGGACTCACTGCTGCCATATTGTCTGCAAATAATGGCACAGTACATTGACACAAAGAAAATCGAAGCTGGCTTTTGCTTAGTGATGGTTTCGTCCCAAGGAAGTAATTTTGACAGTTCACGACGTGGGACATACATTGCAAATGAGAGAGTATCGCTTGCGATTAACTACACTTTTCCGGTGATTGTTACTCTTATCGCGACAGACTTGGAAATGTTAAACTTCACTGTAGAAACAGCAACACACCCC